TCTCTCTTTCTCTCTTTCTCTCTTTCTTTCTCTCTTTCTCTCTTTCTTTCTTCTCTTTTGAGTCTCACTACATAGACCAGGCTGGCCTTGAACTGGAGGTGATCCTCCTGCCTCAGCCTCCCGAGTGCTGGGATTACAGGCACGTACCACCATGCCTGGCTCATATCCCATTTACAAAATGAGAAAACCGAGATGCAGAGAAGTTCAGGGATTAATCTGAGATTCAGAGCAGAAGATGTCAGAGGTGAGACTGAGGCCAGGCACCCTGGCTCTGGAGTTTGGACACATAACCACTATAGTATAGAGATTGCTTTGGATGGGGGATAGAGAAGGATTTCCACGCAAAAGTCACTTTCCATGTAGCTTATATGAAAACAAACCTTCTAGCAAGTACCTATGAAAGTGGAAAAATCCATGAGATGACTGTTTGTTAGGACTGGGTGTGACAATGCAGGTGGAATGTGTGGACATAAGACATTAGAGGGAGAGGACACAGCGAGGAGCTCTTCAAACGTGCCCCTTCTTTTCTCCGAAGACTCTGATTAATTCCTGATGCAAAGGAAGAGAAGATCCTGGGCTGTGGAGCGAGGGGCCGATGGGGCCTCCGGTGTGGCCAGCGCTTTGCAGGCAGATTGTGGGGCGGAGGCAGCACGGATGTGGAGCCCACAGTGTGCGTGCAGCTTCTCACGAGGCGCTGGCTCACCCCGGAGCTGTGCGCATGGGGAGCAGGACAACCAGAAACGGGTGAAAGTAGCATTTGGGAGAGGAAATGGCACAGGAATCTCCAGCCACTGTGACTCTGGGGACAGAGACAGAGGCTGGCATGAGTCCTTGCTAAGGCGGAGCCCTGTGGAAAACACTCCAGAGGCTGTGGACCAGGCACAAATGCCAACCTTCACGAGGAAGACCAAGACCCATGGAGATCAGCCTTAGATGAGACCCTATCTCATTGCCACCTCCCCAAAAGATGTAGAACTTTATTTATTTATTTGTTTGCTTGTTTTTTAAGCAGGGTCTTGCTCTGTAGTCCAGGCTGGCCTTGAACTCACTTTGTAGCCCAGGCTGGCCTTGAACTTTCAGTGATCCTCCTGCCTCAGCCTCCACAGTGCTGGGATCACAGGTGTACATCACCATGCCCAGCAGAATTTTAAAAGAGAATTAAAATTTCTTTTCATAAAAGAGTCAAAAGGACATTTTAGATGTCCTTTCCTTCCTTCCTTCCTTCTTTCCTCCCTCCTCTCCTCCTTTCCTTTTTCTTTTTCTCTCCTTCCTTCCTTCCCCTCTTTTTCCTCTTTTTTCTTTCTCTTGCTTTCCTTTGCACTCCCTCCCTCCTTCCTTCCTATCCTTCTTTCTCTCTTTCCTGCTGAGAATTAAACCCAAGGTCTTACACATGCTACACAGGTGCTCTACCACTGAGCTACTTCCCAAGCCCTTCCCCTTTATTATTTATTTGTTTCTTTAAAAAATTTAAGCCAGAATCTCACCAAGTTTCCCAGGCTGGCCTTGAACTTCGGATTCTCCAGCCCTAGCCCCTTGAGCAGCTGTGGGTCACTACGCTCCACACGCACAACCCTATCGATTAGCCTCGGAGGAGGAAGGGCTAGTACACTGAGACGGATGAGTAAAGGTGCGCATGCAGGATGGCAGCCTAGGAAATCAGGATGACACCGCCAAGAAGAGTGGAGCAGGGACGAGGGCGCATGCGCGAGGCCGAGAGGCGTGTCGCCGAGGGGAAGCAGAGACGCGGAAGAGTGGGAGAGGAGCGACCTTTGCAGAAATTGTGTGGGAAG